AGTATGATAAGCATTAGGGACAGTTCGAGAATGTAATACTTATAATAATAGCGAATTATGGCAATGATAAGGATAATTATGATCCCTATGCGTTCTCTGCGCTGTCGCGCTTCCTATCACTTATCGAAATTACTCTCTCTTATCGCGGGAATTATTCGTACCACTCGTGTTGCAACCTCTGCAATCGATAAACCTCTGCGGCTATATGAAGTCACCTGCTTCAACATGCGCTTTCGCGCCTTAATTATGTTTATATGAAGGAGATTACATTATCGCGATCCCGCGAGGTGTTATTATACGAGCCCACGCGAGGGAGATAATATCCCGATAAGGAAAGCTTTTCAGAAGCTACGAATACTAATGCATAAAATATCGCAATTTGAAAGCCTTTAAATGCAAAATGTCAAAAGATTTAAATTGAGTATATATTTTAGAATGGTAGTTTTATTAGTATAATTTTCTAATAAACTAAAAGTTTAAGCGATTCTTATTAAAAAGTGCTTAGCGTGCCAGTATTTGTTAATAAAGTTTTTGATGAGGAGCATTTTGTTCCACGAAGTTTGGCACAGCTTTCTGTGACATTCCACTATTAACGAATAACTCGAATGGCGGATATAAATGAGACACGTTCACACGATGCTGTCAAATCGTCCGGAAATTCTCGTTCCACGTCTTATCGCTCGATTTCGTTTGTTGGTGTGCTCGAGTTTCTCTGATTTTTGTAACTCTTTACTTTGCTAATGGATTGCGCTCTCGAGAATGTTCTCGCAAAGATCGTGCTATTTCTCCCATCTATCGAGATCACATCCAATTTTGAAGTTTATTGATATTTATGATCGTCAGGTAACCTCGTTAAATCAATGTTAAAACTAAATAATTTTACCATGATACTTGCTTTTGACATTTTTTTTCTATCACTTTTTTATATTTGCAGTCGTTTATACGAGCATACATTTTGGATAACTTTTACGTGTGTATCTTGATGTATATTTTGTTCTACGTAGCACTATGGTATGCTAATAACGTAAGTAGTCCGCATAATAAATTATGATTACAAAAGCAAGAAATAAGATACATAGTTAATATACATTTTTCTCAAATGTCTTGTTTTCAAGATATCTTACTAATTCCATACTTTTTACTTGCCCTATAAATATCAATTAATTACACTTATTTAAAATAAATTTAAAAACTAATGTGTGTGTAAGTAACTTAAAGTTAATATATACATATATTTAGTATAAAAGAAATAATGTTCTGATTCTTTTTAAACTTCTAATTAATTTTGATATATTTTTTTATACAATTGTTTTCAAGATAATAAAGCGAATTGAAAGATCGAATCGGGAGATGTCAACAATAATTGCAGAGAACAAGACGGTCAGTTCCATTTTATTTATAAAATTTGTATACTCATTTAAGATCAATTTTCCTTTTGCATAGTTACAATCAATGTCGTCATATTTATGCACTCTTTTTATCAAGAATTCTTTTTAGAAATTAGACAGATTGGTTTTGTTAAAAAACAAGAAGGCAGAATTCGAGGACGCAATCGTAAAAACGGTTAGCAGTATTTCAATTTATTTTTACTTTTTATTTTTATAGTAATATCTATATGTAACGGCATTTACTTTATAGACAAATGCGCAAAAAGAGACTACGAAACACTTAGAAGATGAAGTAAGTTTAAAAGTGAATCGTGTACGCATAAACAAATTCTCAATGTTTAATCATAACCATCGAATTATTATTCAGATGAACAGGCTTAGCACAGAATTAATTACAACATCCGATAAAATTACTGGATTGGAAAAAGTCGTTGAAAAAGTAATGGTCGTCTTTCGATGTCTATTCGGCTGTTAATCGTTTTTACCAGCTTCAGTAATTGTTATTAAATCGTAGATGGTTTTTAGTACAAATACCCGGACAAATTACTTAGCTCAGCCAATGCTATCGAGGGTGACTGTTCAAAAGAATTCGAACAAGTCACGAGTCCGTTCGAGAAGTTCAAGGTAAATTAAATTATTAGTTGTCACGAACACATATTTTAAGACATTAAAGAATAATAAAAAAAACAAACAGTATTAAGCAGAAATATTAATGAAAGAAATTAATAACTGATTGCTAAAAAATATTATGAATATTATGAATATTTAATATTTGTTAATTTTGCCATTTGTTAATATTAAATTAAGATTCTCGAACCGTCATTTCCACCAACTGTACCACCGGAACCTCCGCCTCGGAAGTATGGGATCTTTGTCAGTAGACCGCCTGGGCGGAGAGCGTCGTCTGCAACTGCACCTGCGACTCCGCCACCAAAAATCGGATTCAAATAACAGCGCCTCTGCAGAAGCTTCTTCCGAATCTGTTAATCGATATCGTAAGACATTAATTACACCATAATAATGTTAACAATCTTCAGATATTTATGAATAAACTGTTTATTGTTTTGCTTGTAAAAAAATGAAAACAGAGAAGTGTGTGCGAAAAAAACGTACATATTTATGTTAGTTTATGAAATTCGGAATGTGTCGACGTAGAACTCAAGTATCTGCAATTACAATTTTTAATACATTGTGTTTTTCGCATGAGAACTGAATATAAGCCTTATCATCTGTTTCTTTTATATACATCGTTTTATACGAGATTTTAGATTTTCACATCTCATTCTTCTAGCTTAAATTTTTTTATTATAATAATAATTGCATTATAAAGTAAAATTTCTGTACATTTTCGAAATATATTTTTAAATCGACTTAATTTCACAATTTCTATTTTACAGCTACCAATAAATGTCTTTACAATTATCATGATGGTGATCGAAAAAGACATCCTAAATGGCTATGTACGAAGACGCACTCAAGACGCTCTTCATGTTGCAACATGCGTAAGATTCATATGGATTCTTTAAAAAATGTCACACCTTTTACTAAATCACTATTAGGATTGGCTACTATCTTTCTCCGTGGATATCCGTAAAAATAGAATATTTAAATATATCAGTGACTAAAAGACAAATTTCATAATTTTACTTAACATTTTTATTTTTGCTTTTAAACCGTCATAATGAAACTATAAATGCTATAAATTATTTAATTTTTATACTTTAATATTTATTTTTATAATATTATACATTATTATGACTATAAAAATCATAAATAAAATTGTAATAAAATCACACAACAAATACGTAATCTTATTATTCATATTTTAATTTCCTTTCTTAGATATTAATTCACAAGCTTTAATTAAAATATTACAAACAAAAGCTTCACTTCGTTTGCAATAAACATTACATTAATGTTTTCGCTTGTTACATTTTTTTATTGAACGCTAATACATATTTCATATCATCAATAAGATTAAACTGTTTATCAACTTAATTTAATAATTATGTATTCTAGCTTCAGTCTAAGATTATGTTTTAAGATTGGTAAATAATCGGTACGGTTTATTCGAAATGGACATTTTCTTTTTTTTATTTCAACAAACAGTTATTTAGATACATATCGTATGCAATAGATATGAAATTATGCGCACACAAGAGATAAGTATTTTATTAAAACGATCGAAAAAAAAGTGTGTAATTGTGTCCTTTTTTTTAGAATATTTTTTTGTTTCGTAAATATTTCTTATATATAATTTATATTCCTCATAAAAAAATCAAATATAATCTCAAACTGAATAAATCGATATTAATTACGCGAATTATATTTGCATTCACATAAAAAAACGTAAAAAATGGTATCATAATCTTGAGCGAAGTGAATATTTATGCAAATGCTGCGGGAGATATTCTGTAACATTTAACAAACTACACAAATAAGTAAAGAGGACCATATTTGGTGAGTTTTGGTGCATAATAATAAGGATAGTATGAATTTTTACAATTTCCATTTCAAATAAATTGAATTATTTAATATGATATTACTAATTAAGTTGTGATATTACGTATTCCAGCTTCAGTTTTTTCAAGATTATATTTCAAGGCCGACAAATAATTGGTTCAGTTTATTTGAAATGAAAATTGTACTAATAAGCATCTTTAAAGTATCATAAATAATTTATTACAAAAAATATTATTCGAACCTGAATCTTCCAAATTCTGTGAGCTGTTTATGTCACATAATTATAAAATTTGGAAAATTTGCGAGATGTTTAAAAGCATTTAGATAATAAAAAACCAAAAAGCTGTAAAATAGTCCTTGTAAATTATCTTGTCTATTTGCTAAACTACTGTCAAGTTTATCAGATTGTACGTTTTCATTCAGGGACGAAAATATTTAATTAGATCTATGCATGTTAAAATCAGCACGCAATTGGTAAGCACTCTTGCTACAATACATACCATATAATCTTTTGATGTAACAATCCACTTCACCTGTTAATTATCCACTTATGTCATCATCTTTTTGCTATGGACACTACAGTTCGATTTAGTATTTCTATTTCCCAAGTATTTTCACACGGTATCATTTTCGAAATGTAGCGCGGATATCGCGAGACCATTATGTTTTATCAAGATTACGGTGAAAGGAAAGTAATTATTTTCCGCTTGTAAAATTAATAAAAAATTAATTTTCGTATCAATTAAAAGCTACTGCTTCTGAATGTGCATTTGATATTTATTTTTTCATTTTAGATTTATTTTTTCCACTAAAATAGTAGCAATACAATTTTTATTTAATCTGTAAATAGTTTCTATTCGTTTTTTTCGGAAACAGTCTTCTTTCGGTCACACGACACAAGATACTCCTTTTTCTCGAAATTTGTGTTAAAACTTTGTCAACTTTAAATATATTGTGAGGTGATACTTTCTACGGAATACAATTGCTAGTGCACTAAAAACAGGGCATTTTCTCATGCGGTCCGCCTTGTTCGAGACACAGAACTGCGAGCGATCGAAACGCATGGACTTGCGAACGATCGGCCAACTTTCACTGACGACTCGTTAGGTTCGCCGCCGTGGTTTCGAGTCATTCACAGTTATTCCGCGACTTCGACGGTTCGCAGTAGCGCTGTTCGTATTTCTCTCCTCGTTCGAGACGGCAGCTGTCACTTCAAAGTGCGCGTTTGATGATATATCGGTAGTAACGCGGTAGTGACACGTTTGCAAATTCTACGTTTCATTCTACTATTTTCGGAACGTTATTGTAAGCTTGTTTGCATCTCGCGCAAACGTGCCTCCTGGTGACACAGTGATATTCAACGTCCAGCATTTCATCTGGATATTTTTTCACGGTGAACCCATCGATTGTGCGTAATGGAGACACAGAGAAATTTGTTGCAGCCACGCAACATATACAATCGCAGCACGCGATACTGAGTTACGATCGGTGGATTTCGATTTACGCGTGATTTGATTCGAGCGAGGGAGCTGGAAACGCGCGCGTGATTTTCGACGTCGACGTTTGGGGATTGATCGTTCGCTCCTCGGTTAATTGCCTTCCAAAATTTCGCACACGTCGGCGTGCGATTTAACGGGCAGATCGCAAATCGTTTCGCGTTCGCGAAGTATGGGAATACCTCGCTGCGCGCGCGAATTATAATCGGCAGCTTTATTCGCAAATGCGAGCCACTTCGGAAGTGAGTTCCGGCGCCACTCCCGCTCCACGGCAGTGTTACAATTCGCTGAGAGAGCTCTCGCGTCGTTTGCGCCGTATATATCTCAGGATAAGAGAGTAGGAGAATTACCGTTACGATTTTGCCGGTCGTTTCCGAGACTCCCATGCGCTAGAAGTGCATTCGACGATACAAAGGAGTTGTCGACGTCGCGCTCGAAGCGGTCGCGGCTCTCGAGAACGAGCTTTGTCGCTTCGGATGAAAGTAAGACGGACATCGTAAGAGGATTTAACTTTATTGCTGCAGCGAGTCTTGAAGAAAGTGGAAGTTAGCGGAAAGTGAGAGTCTTTTTTCTTTTCTTGAGAGAGAGAGAGGGGGAGGAGAGAGAGAGAGAGAGAGAGAGAGAGAGAGAGAGAGAGAGAGAGCGCTGTGACCGGTTCACAGCCGTCTGGTCGATTGCATCGATCGCGGATCCAGGGACAGGTATTTGTTTGGACGATCTCGCGTAATAAGAAATTGCATATCTTCGAAAATTCAGGTTAAGGCAAACTTACCGCTCCCAGAGTCGCGGTGCGCGATCGATTGCACGTTTACGTAATAATACGTGATCGTTGAAAGTGGCAGAGTCATCGCCACGAATCGACGTTTACTGCACGTTTACATCATTAGATACATAATTTCACAGTTGCGATGGATATCATGTTCTCTGGTGATACGAATGCAACGAATAAGGAGAGATTGGAATAATCTGGAATAATCAAATTTCAATATAATCATGTCGCTTTCATTTTATACATTATTTTACACACACACACACACACACACGTACATATGTATACAAACATAGGAAAGAAAACAAAAGTAGATTTTTCTATCAGTGCATCTACATATGCAAATTTGTTCTTTAATTAATCAACTGTGTCCGATATTTGACACTTCTTTCAGATGTAATTCTCTACCTCAGTGGATTCGTACATTATTACATCAGATTTGTGTCTGATAAGATTGCCAGAGGATTGACAGTAGGATTATCTCTAGTTCGCCGTAACGCCCGCCTTATTGAAAAAAATCGACATGGATGCCAGTACGGTGCGGTTAGTAATATTTTTGGGCATGTTTCTGGTTTTCGCCGGCGATTATAGCGCATTGATCGCTTCAATTTTCGGTAACGCAACGGAGAGGAACATAACTGATGCTATGAGAGAACCCAAGGCTCAACTCAAAGGGCCTCCCCATCACGATAAGATACCCGTTGTCTCGAAAAAAGACATCGATAAGAATAATGGTAAGAATAAGGCTATCGTGTAAATGATACACGATGTAACATGATACCTTTTCACGAATGTGTGTGTTGCGAAAACACAAAATTTAATAATATCTTTTTTTTCTACAACGTAAAACATATTTACTTTGGCAGCAACACAACGATATCCTATCTGAGCTGTAATTTTATACTTTGTGCAAGATATCCTTGCGTATAAACTGCTTAGCATTTCCCCTTTGCAATTGCTATTGCATAAAAATACATGCGAGATCTACACGCACATATATGTCGTCATACCATTATTCATCGAGTTGCGCTTGTTAGTTCGCGTGGAGTTAATTGTTACTCTGCGAATGGACTAATTAGTCGCGCACTCGTCTATTTTAATTACAACGTTTGACAACGTTATCGAGATCCCCTCGATTCAGAGCGCATGTACGTCTTATTTGTCTTGCAGTTTATCGAAATCTTGTTACGAGCATAACCAGTTCTCGAGAAAATGCTGTTGGAAAGTAGTCTACGATAAAATGAGTTTCAATCCGATTATAGAGTGAATGCGTGTAGTATGTTTTTAAATATTTATAGATTAACAATATAATTAACGAGCGTTATGTACGATATAATTTAATTATAACACATTTGTGATACATCAATGATTTTCTATATTTATATTTTCTGCATCACTTAATTATTCCTAAATATTTTCTAACAACAAACTAATACTGTTTCTTAATATCAGAAAAAATATAACAGAAACTGTAATGAGAGAGATACCTATAAAAATAGAAAATAGAAAAATAGAATAGCTCACTAATGTATTTGCGTACCAATTAAGTTTCTAAAGATCTGAAAACGTAACGAGAATATTTTTGTTTCTGAAAGTAAAAGTGTCCTTGTCACATCCCAGATCTTTAGAAATTTTCGACCCACGTTCTTGGCTTTTAACTTGTCACTTACTTCTAGATTAAACAAAGCCGGTCATTTATTCGAATATGCGTTGTCACTCGGAATAATATTTATGATCCCATTAATCGTCCCATCACTCAGAATGATATTGCATGTGCCACGGCATAATTGACAATATGATTCCGATTTTTGTGCAGTTGCCCTACGCCGTGCGAAGATGATGACAACGATCAAAACCGCTTGCTTGCCGAAGCTAATATGCGAACTCACCAAGTCTGTTCACCAAGACCAATTAAGTGAAATGGAGCGATCTCTTTTAAATCTTATAAGGTATGCAACTACTTTTACGTCTTTTTCAGATCTATTTCTTTATTTCTATTTATATTACACAGGAAGAGAAAGTGGCTTATTAGACGAAATAATAAATAACGAACTTGTCACTGAATCGCAGAGATTGATTTTTGATTAAAGCTTGATTTTTATCAAAATTAATTAGGGAAGAATCCGATAGTGGTAGTTGGTATGCTCCTCAATTTATTTGATACAACAAAGTTGAGAATTCTCTATTTTCATTGAGGCTCTTGCACTCAATCTTCTTACTTTCACAACTTTCGATCGGCATTGCAACTAAACGACTCGGGAGTCCGTCGACCCTGAAATGCAGGCGCTATCGTGAAGAATATGGAAAAACGTATTTCTCTCTGGTCACGCGAATAATGACACGAGGAAAATTGCTAAGAAACGTAATTTTACGCAAATACGAATGGCTGCGTTTCTTATTCAAAAGCACAAACCGATGACTGTCCGTCAATGATGAATGGATGTGCCGAGAAATTTTGCAATCCTCAGCGGAGCTAAAAGCTAATAATAATCACGTTTATCACAATTATATACAGGACGTTTTGGAAAACGACGACGTAGGCGACTGTAGGAAATGTCCAACGAGAAACGCTTGCTCGCCCGGGAAAATTGGATACCAGGACAATGGCGCGCGGCGCGCACGCTGTGCGTATTTTGCAATTTTCATTTACGATCGGATGTAAAATGCAGCTAGGTCTCACGTACATACGTATCCGCTGTGTTATGCGGATAATCCAAAGAATTATACCGCGAATTCGTGCTGTTTTACGATTCTGATTAAAAGCAACGTTACGTTAAAACTGGCTCTGCTGGAAAATCGGGAAATGCGGCATCTATCCGCTGTTAAATCCCCATATTTGCACAGTGTGGAATGTATCATCACGGTGGACCCGATGCACAGACATTTCCAACATGAATGTATTAATATACATTCGCGAGTGTTGATCCTCACCACGCGAACACGTATTCGTTAGAACGTTGGTATATTAAAAACGGAGGAGGTGGCATTCTTTCCAAATTAGCGCCTTCATAATCTAGCCTTTAACATGACAAATCGGTTATTTTGAAAATCACAACGCGCGTATCTAAATATATAATTTTTGTAATTAATTACATTTCGTAACCAAATTTCGTAACGAAATAGTGTGTATGCAAAATGTATTATTTAATATTTCTTTAATAATTACATATTGACTTCAATTTGTCTTTAAGAATTATAGCAATTTAATTCGTGGATATAATCGCGAATTAATGATTGTGTCGCACGTATTTTGAAAAATAGCCAACTGAAAGCTACCGCGAAAGTTAGCCGTCTCTTATGTAAGTATCGTCCGAAAAACGCGTCTTGCCGCACCTCGTCGTAACCTCGACGAATACTTTCCTTTTCATTATCCAATCTGTATACTTTCTCCGCGACACGGCATACATAGCATTTTGCATCTGCTATTCGGCCTTCCCGGAACTGCGGCTTACTTCTGTAAACATTTCATCGGCAAATGGCGTAAGCTGATAGAAAGCAATGAGTTACTTATAATTTCGGTAATTAATTCATAGCTCCTGGTTAAAAGAACGCTCGATCGTTTCATGCTCGTCGTAAGTTATATACAGAAATATTTTCATTTTCAAAATAAATGTAAATTTCTCGTATTATTCATGAGTGAAGTACAAATCCTATGTACATATTTTACTTAATATATTTTTTACACGCGATAAGAAACGAGCAAATTAATATGCAATGTTCTTGTTCAATTTGTCCTACAAATGTTCTTCCTACAAGATAGTACTTTTTATTTAACATCTTAGCTTTTCGTTTTTTATGTTAATAACTAGAAATAACTTAGAACATTTACGTATTTTATTATCTCATTTCTCTAACAATATTTGCCTAAAATATATTATACTTAAAAATCTATTATAGAATGATAATTCGCGAATAATAAACGAGTAAAGTAATTTCGTAATATGATTAATCGTAATATGACTAAATAACGAAAATTAAAGGAATGTTTATACAATATATCGTAAATCGGATTTCAAAGATATTAAAACGAGCTCGAATAAAAGTCTCATATTTATTACTGCCATTCATTTCCACGTGTTAAACGAGAACGACGTCGACGAACAGTAAAATGAATCGACGCAGAAAAGCGAGTTCCATTAGAAGAATTATAATGAACCAAAACGACAGCATTGTCCCGACGTATAGTGCATTTTTGTTTTCGTTTAAAAGCACAATATTTCTTTACACCACATTGCACACTCATTAAAAGTTATACGTGTATTTGTAAAATGATAAGGTAAAAATTCCGTAGTTTCTATATTAAACGAAGGCATAAGTGTTTATAAAATAGAGATTCCACAGAGGGAAGAGGGACACGACTGTGGAAAATACTGTATTGAAACTTCCCGAAAAGTTTTCAAATATAACTTTAAGTATAATTACAAGTCGTAGATAGAGTAAATACAGGCGCGCTATCTTTCGCACGTCTTCATTGTCTTTTCTGCGTGAAAATAGGCATCTCCGAGCGAAAGAAGATCGCCCTAGGAAGGATTCTTGCGCCGCAGTTAATGTCCCGGAAGGATCCAAGCTTTATATTTACTTTTATGCCTGCGTAAACGCCAGTCCATTCTGACGCATCCCGATTTTTATCGGCGCGGATCGCTCCGGGTTAAACCGATCAAGATGGAGAGGCTAAAAAGCCGTTTTGCGTTTATTCGTTATATTCTAGCGCCCCTTCGAAGCTGGGAATCGTAAAGAGGGGAAGAGCTTTCTTTCTCTTTCTCCTTTCGATGGAGGAAGACGTCTTCCGCGGGAGCCATGCGTGACGAAACTGCCGTGCTTTTTGCTCTTCCGACAGATCGAACGATTTCTCGAAGAATTCAGCGCGGTATCCGTTCGCTTTTGACGAGATCCGGATGATTTTTGAGGCAAAAATCGTCGGCAATCGACGTCGATTTTAGTTCTCACGGAAATCCGAGGGAATAGATTTGCATCTGTAAAGTAACGTGCGTGAGAATTTTCGCGAAACAAATCCGAAAGAAAGCGATTTGCTTTGCTGCTTGTATTCCGGTAACAGTTTACCCCAATAATGCTTCCTACAAACGTTTCTAAATGATTCTTTCAAACTAAAGAAAGAACCAGAGAAATCGGTGTATTGCAGACTTGTTTAAAGTAGAATGTTATCACCGGAGATTTTCATAACATAATTTTGTTCTAAAAGAGATGACGAAACTTAGTTTGTTCCCTTTTAACTTATCTGAAAATGCAAATGCAGGTATATTGAAGTAGAGAAAGGACTCGATAATATATTCTCGTTTTTGCTGGGTGTGCAACTGGACATTGTATTAATACGTTTATAGTCACGGTTGATGTCGATATCGAAAGTAAAAGGTGAATTGCCTTGTGCTAGTTTTTATGCAGTTAAACCAGTTTCACACGATCAACTGCTTCGATACTCGATTCAGTTTTGTAGCACTTTGCCAGATGGAGAAATTTTATGACTGTCACGATATTTAAAACGTATTTTATTATACGCCACATATCCATGTAGCCACACTTGTATAAAAATATATAAATAAATGAATCTTAAACTTTTGATTGATGTGCAAAGATTAATTTTACGATAAATGAAATGATTATTATCAACGCGAAAATAATTGCATCTCACGACGCAGGAAATTGATTACGCTAATAAAAACTCCACTGTTACTTTCAGAGATACAAGTCTGAGCACAATGGCGGAAGTACCATCGAGATATCACTTCGCGGCTCACATGGGTCAATTGATTTCCGGTATAGAAGGCCAAGGTTGTCATAACTTTTACCCGACATGTCCGTTGCCGGGTATCAGAGTTCTGAACATGATGAAGAAGATTCGTCTACGCTAAGGCATGATTATCGTCTCACTGTCGAAATCGACGATTTAATTAAACCTGTGATATTGTGGATAGGGGAGACCGACGCTAATAGAGTCATTTTTCAGTTTTGAATTTTTACGAACGAGAAATTAAGAGATTTATCGAAAAAATGAATTCTACACCAGTTACTATATACATTTGACTACTAATAATATTTTAATGGTAAGGGGAAACTGATAACTAATATAAAAAAAAAAGAATGCATTTTTCTAAAGCATTCCATCTGATTCAACTAGCCCCGGGAGTAATTCGACCGGAGTAATTCGACTAAGATTATTAAAATCAAGATTAATGTATTTTAAGTTACATCTTTGGCTACATATTAATAAAACTTTTATAAAAATATATTTTAAACACAAACATTCGCATCGCATAGCAAAACAATGCTTCTTTTTGCGAAATTTGTTCATTTTATGCAAAAACACGTCGAATGAGCCTAGTTTTCGAGATTGGACATGAGGGAACTAAACTTATAACATTTATCACTGAGGAAAATCTCTTTAAAAGAATAATATTTTAAGTAAATACTATATGAGTCGTCACTAAATGAGTCATACAGTTCCATGCTGTGGTTAGTCTACTATCCCCATCCGTTTATTTTTTAAAAACATTAACAATATACGATAACAAAGACACATAAACAAAAAAATCTGTTGGACTTTATTAAGTACCCTGGTAACAAGCTGACGTCAAAATGATGTCATTTGACGTCAAAGTAACGACAAAATGACATAGCTTGCTATCTGGGTAAGAACTACACTTACTATCTAAGTAGAAATCAAATATATACAATCAATATATAAGACAATTATATACGGTTGTAAAACAAAAACTTTAAAAATAAAAATATGTACTTAGGTGTACGATTTTTTAAAATTGTAGTATAACTTCTATCATAGATGTGTTCACAACAAGATTTTACAACAGACTTAGCGGCAGTCGCTGCTACGTACTCAGACACGTTTACACGTGTCTCGAGTATTTTGTTTTTAATGTAGCCTCGATTATTCTATTTACCCCTATAATCAATCAACTGACCCCGGTCTCCCCTACTTTGTTTTTGTTCGCACTCAGGAGTATTAACATTATAAGAATACAATTTGCACAATGATAAATCGTGTTTCTGGCGATGCAACATGTAAACGATACTCAAGTTTTCGTGATAATAATGTTAATTACTGAAAGAAAAAAATGACAATATTCTACGACATTTCAAAATCTCTGTTGGACCGTAAAATAAAAATTTTAGCTCGTAAATTCATATCATAGATTGTTAAAATTATAGAAAAGTATCTGAATTAATATTGACATTCAGTTCTTTCCATTAATTTTAGAAAATTATTCTGTCAATCTCTGTAATTATTTGATGTGTAATAATTTACTTGTAAATTAAAAAAAATGACACATGCATTCGTATGGATGTATTTGTACTCAATGTTATTGTTTATTTATTTGTTAATAAGTAGGTACTTACGTTTCACTTATACATGTCACTACTTTCACTCACTTTTGATACACTGTAGGATTTATTTTTAGATTTTATATTTTGAAAATCCTGTGTAACGCGTATGTATAATCGCTTATTTTATAGCTTTCTATTTACTCTGTATATATTTTAATAACGAAAAAAATAAATAAATTGTAACTTGAAAACATCGAATATTTCATTTTATGATTATAAAATATTCGTATACTCTATATAATTTATAACTTTAATTTATAACTTTAAATTTTATTTTATATTTCATAAATATTATTTTTATATAATGCGTGTATATAATTCTTTAATTTTATACTTGCACTTTCAACCTTTATATTTATTTCTATGCCTGCGCCAGAAATATTACCATATTTCAATGAGAAATAGCAAAAATGCAAGCAACATACAGAACGTTCTTTTTTTTTCTTGCGAAATATATATCCTAGTAATTGCCATAAGTTCATTGTATGCATACGATCCTGAAATCGTGCATTTCAGTAGGAAGTCCCATGGTGACGCTTTGCCAAATTATCAGCATTCCCGATCTCCGCTCTATATCCTATTCTTTTTCCTATTTTAATACAAAAGCGCTGCCATCCCCAGATATAATCCGGAACCCAGCGGGAAAACGCGCGAAAATTATTAGAATAATCGTCGGCGTCTTTATCGACTTAAGCCCGATGCCAACTCGTCCCGAGTGGACATTTCCCAACGAACCGTGCGATCGTAAACGAGATCGTGCCAAGAGTCTCGGTTAGCAGTTAGAGCTGGAGCGATACGCGAGGACAAACGGGATGTAATACCGATGAAACCGCGCCACTAACCGTCCCCACTGCCCTCCGAAACAGCCAGCGACACATTTGGAATCCTCGCAAAAATTATCGCACGATATCATCGTTGGAGTTTATCGACGTTTCTTGCATCGATGCCAAGCCACGTGCGATTTCCAGCTGCAATTTCCAGCTCCTTTTTTATACATCCATTATACATAATACAGCCACCAAGAGATGAGGTCAGAAAACTTTATCGATTTTTCTCAAAATAATAGATGACTAGTAAATGAGATTAATTATTAATTCACTCTATTAAGACATCGATAGGCTGTTGTAATCGCTAAAAAATTCCTTGAATACTTGACTTGCATTTTTATTACGTTCTATCACGTAACGCTTGTATTGTGCACTGCACACATAATTGAGTTTATGAAGTTTTGATATTTAAAGATAAGACAATACAGCCAGGAAAGAAAAGCAAAACGTTAATCATTAACGTTAAGATGTTGAACTACTATATATAATATATTCATTTAAATGAATTAATTTCCAGAAATGATAATTGCGTGCCGATATGGTTGTCAAACTTTCAACGCAATCAATCTGAAATATTAATAATCCCTCCAAATTTCCCAAATCTTAAAAAACTGTAATAAACTTATTGCGAAAAATATTGCCTCGGCCTTTGGACTACCGAGACAAAGTCTAAAAGCTTAGGACGCTCGCACGGAATGCAAGAGATTCGGATTCGATTCCCGGCCGAGGCAATATTTTTCGCAATTATCATTTCTGGAAATTAATTTATTTAAATGAATATATTATATATAGTAGTTCAACATCTTAACGTTTAGACCGATATGGCACTTCGTATCTACAGTAATGTTTGTACCATAAACGGTCTCGTTTCCAATCTAAATACTTTTAATCATTAAACAATAAGTTAAACAACTTATAATCTAAATATATGTATAATCTGTATGTTGTATTATAAAATCTTTGAAACGTTCATATCTTGTAAAAATGGATTTCGCTTTGTATATGCTGCGTGTTGTAATTTCCTTTAAATTATTCGAATAATTTTATGTGATTATTATATAAAAAGAGACAGAAAGAATTTTTTTCGATAAGTTTTTTAATATACTTGTTCGAGAACGCCAAAAGTTTTTCAATTATAAAATATCACGAAGTTTCAAAAAATATTGTCCTACTTCAAATTGACCTTGTTAAGAATTTTAAAAAATCGTTTATGAAAAATTAATTAACGATACGAGAAAATGTCCTTTCGAAGCTTAACTTAAATATGCGACATCAATTTACCAGAAAATATCTACTCTCTAAATCTGAATCAGTGGATAGTCACTAATTACCCAGTGGCATACTTGGCACTGAATAATCAATGAAGTTCAACTAAAAAAGAAAAAATGTTTGAACATTATAAATATAACTAAAATACTGATTTAGACTCTCAAGATCTTCTGGCTTTTTCCACTTATAATTCTTTACTGCATTTTACGTTATTCTTCAAAGAATTAATAATTTATATACATCTGAGGATGACTCAATCTCGTAGCCGAAACATGTTACATGAATTTTTGTAATATAAATTTTTGTAATGGGAAGATTTTATTTTGAATATTTGTAAAGTGTAAAATAATTGTTTCTTTTTTTCTTTAATATTTGTAACTTTTTAATTTTAATTAGATGTATTTATTTCACTCTTATTGCCCTGTCGATACATTAACTTTGTTTCATTACAAAAGTCCTTTACTTTATTATATAAAATACTGATGTTTGCACGTTAATTTCAATTTTTCAATATCATTCATTGAATTTATCCACTAAAATAAGATTAATTAGATCACATAATAAGTAATTAGATTAAGGATCTCACATTTCATTCACTGATTACCAGTGGCATACTTGGCACTAATATCAGTGATTATCCACTGATTCAGATTTAGAGAATAAGTATATAGTCATAGCTCAACTTAGATAGAACACGCGTAATATTTGCATCAGCAAGTCGACCTTGCTAGGAAGAACCAAGTTTACGAAAGTTATGTCGGATTTTGTTTTTAATGATCTGATGTGAAGAAATCCTCGAAATGATGTACCAAATGTTGTAACATATAACTAGCATCGAAGGCTTCGGCAACGGGAAGGGGCAATCACTTTCTCTTCGTTGGCATGAGCAACGGCCTCATGCTCTGAGGAACATTCAGCAACAAGTTTTTACTAAAGCAGCAAGCAGCCGCCGGTTCGTAGGCTGTGAGTTTTTGACCGGTGCACCAAAGTCACACGCGGGTACGTTGACGTAGTTGAAGTGAGTGTTTCAGGTGATACGTGTTTGCATGATTGAACGAAAAACATATCGATATCGGCGCGGTAGAAGTGCCGCATATGCATCTGTTATGAATTGCATAATCATGGTGCTTTGAAATAACAGCGGTCGATCTATTCGCGAAGGTGCGATTGAATGATTTGAACTATGTGAAGTGCGTGACTAAGGTTTCATAAATACGTAGAAAATGTAGAATTTTATTAAAGAAAAAAGTGAAGGGTTCGATTAATTGAAATATTTTCATAACGCATAATGTAATTCATGTATAAGATGCTTTTTCTTGCATTATTATTATAGTTTATAATTTTGCACCCAGAGAAAAGGTTGCTACGATTTAAAGAAATGTTTCTTTGCTATAAAAACATTTCTGCGATTTTTGAAAAAATTTCTTTGATTTAAACATTATTTTTTAAAAGCAAATAAAATTTATTTGATTTAAAAACAATTATGTTCAAATCTAAGAAATGACGTTCAAATCATAATTTTTTCACAATCGAAAGAAAATCAAATCAAAGAAATTTTTTCACAAATCAAAGAAACTCTTTCATTTAACCGAAGTTTCTTTAAATCGAAGCAACCTTTTCTCTGGGTGTGTAACGATCATAGAAAAATAAATTTAAAAAATGAATTAAGAAGATATTTGTAAAGTATGAATTATATTGTAACGCGCTTTTGATTATAAACGGGAAGATTGTTTCTTTATATGTACATTAATATAAAGTATTTTCTTTCGTGTGAAATAGAGAAAGCTGCACGACGGAAAGAAGAACTCACGCACAATAGCGGAAGTTAATCTCAACGCCGTTTCAGTCGAGTCGGTTTCACAACACTTTTTACAATAATTAACGAATGTCTTAGCTCTACATAATGCAATTGCCGCGGACATTCTTGCGCTTTGTTTGCTACTTCCTGATATTGACACTTGTCACAGTGGCCGGTCAAAACGAACCACTCTTCGAACTTCCGGTGCAGTTGATCGGTTTTCCGATAATTATAGCAAGTGTAAGAATCACCAATTTCCTCAAGAAGCTCGCTTATGCTTTAAGTCCAGGTAATGCGTGCAGAAAATATATATTTTATAATAATATAATTCTTATATTCACATATTGCATACTATATTCATATATTACATATTATATGACCGTCTTTTTCTTTATTATAATGATCATCGAGAGCACGAATAGATTATTATTGAAGTGGCGAAAGAGGAAATATAAAGATTAGTAAAAAAATATTGCCAGTATTAATGACTCATCGAGCATGAAAGCAAGAATATTACATGTCATAGGTTGTTTGCCTTTTCCGCGGTTAGCTCACGAGATACGTGACTCAAATCGACGAACAGCGAAAACGAAAGTGTTCCACTTGTTACAACTTCTCTCTGCGATCACGAAGCTATGTAATGACATAGTAATTGACCGAGGTTGCTTACCGTTAAGTGAATACGTACGCCAAGAATTAGAACAAAACATGGCTGTTGCGGCGAAATTTGAAATGCTTTATGATTATCAGACGAAGTAAACAAATTAAGATCATTGTATTAAAAAAAATTATGTTACTTATTATATGCGCAAATATGGCAAAAATTTTTAACTTCATAGATGAACAGTTATTAAACTTCAATAAACTTAATTTCTTTACATTACTTCGTAAACCTTTTAAAAGTATTCTCTTTGAATTCTTAGATACTTATGCCAATCGAGTGAAACGTGCACATCCTTTGATACACGACGAAAAGATCTTAGACATCGACCAAGTCGAAAAGAAGCTAGTAGCTGAACTCGGAAATAATGTTTGCATCTACGAGAAAATTTGTGTCAAGTACGCGGAACGATCTCTCCAAAGAAGAAGTTGGGAACGCGTTCTTAATTGGAACGAAATATTCAGGTACGATGAACTGCAATATTGTAACCGCTATTTAATTTATCTGAATTTTAATAAATATGTAATATATAGAAGATTTATATTCGATTAATATAAAAAAGAAACTATAATATTCAAAAAAAAAGTTGAGGACGTTGTACGTTCGACTTATTCAGGACGAGAGAGCACACTTACATATGCTCTTTCATGATTGCATTACGCAATCTGAAGTTCACGGTTGAAGGAATCTATGTCTTAAAACCAAGGTTTCATGGATAAACATTTTACTTAGGAAATACAATCGGTAGAGATTTTTCTTTTAACAAATTCATTAAAACAACGTAACGAAATACCACCGCGCCATGCTATAGGGGAGACCGGGAGCAGTTGATACGGTTTTTTATTAGTGATTTTTAGAAAAAAGTGGATGTCTGATTTTGAAATGAAATATTATATATACGTTATAATATACCTCAATTCTTTAGATATTAAAAAAAAAGTATTATTCGTGAATTTATTATATCATAAAAATAAGTTATTTAATGATAAAGCTATACGAAAATGTGACAATTAACCCCGTGTTCTAGAGTTGGCAGTAGCACATTTGTTATAGATAACACATATGAAAAATACAATTTTTATTTTAATATCAGTTCTATATTTTGAGAAATAATAGTAATTATGATATTAATACAAATAAAATAGTTATTTTAATCATAAAATATGTAATTTGTTTTTGTTATTTTTTATATGAAAAATGAAAAAAACATATATACATATCTATATAAAATATAATATATTTGTAAGTATATTCTCTAAAAATGTGTTCTCTAAAAATATTAAAATTAATTATCACCTAACGTCGTCAAGCCTACATAGCTATTTTTAATAAAAGAGATTGTATTTACAAACTTTGTCACAGGATTAATTAATTGTAACAAAGATCATCTAAGACATGTCATTTTCTATGAATACAGGGATATCGCGATTAATAATGCCAACTTGTCAGACAACAAAATAGATGATAAGAAAAATTTACTCACCATTCTTCATTTTCTTAAAAATCATTATAAATAATATATACAATGTTTGTGATGCAAATCATTTTACAACAAATTAATATTATATCAGTAATCTACAGTCAAGAAAAGAGATTTTTCTGCCATGTCCTGTTTGAGTTACAAGCATTTTGACAATCAATCCTAGTCATCACGACAATCAACCCTAGTCTCCTCTATAACATTTCATATGATAGATATTATTATATATAATAGATACTTATTCACTTTTGCAAAACTGTGGCATTATTAATAATGAATATTATAAAAAAGAAGACAAAAAATGATAGTTTTCTATTATAAAAAGATGACTTTTCTTTTTAATATGTGCGAAATCAATCTCTCAATAAATTTGGATGTCTTTTAAGAAAAATTCTGAAGAAATTATTTAATGTAAAATTAAACATATCTTATAGATAATTAAAATTTAAAGTAAAATTTTAAAATTGTTAACACGTTAATGCAAATTGTTTAATTATTTTATATTTTAGTAAGATATTGAAGCAGATGTATTCTGTAACCAATCTTATCGTATTCCATTTGTCAAATTGTCGAAAAAAAAATGTTTCCTAATTAGAAAAAAAAATTAAATCCCCATCTGTGAAGACGCGCATGACACATAACGCTTAATCGATCAATAAGCGAGTCGAGACGTGTCGTAATGCGTCGTAAGATCATAGTGGCGACGATAAGAATCAAGATACGATCTACAAATTTTTAAAAGGAGTGCATCCAGAGATGCTCTCCGTTAATGGCGACAGAAGGTTTTTCCTCCTTCCTGCCCTCGTTCCTCACGCAGCCGTGAGAGATATAATAGAAATCCCTGCTACCGTCTACGCGCTCCGTGCAATCATTCTCCGCCTTGACGGAGCTTACACTAAATTCAGTTGTAAGTAGCGCCAGGAGCAGATAGCCTTTAATGGCGCTTCCACAGGCGCTCTAATGCATTTTGATAGCTGCTTCTCTCTCTTCATCGTCACCCTTCATCGTCGACTTCTCTTCTGATCGTTCTCGTGCCTCGCCTGCGTGTCCAAGCAGGCTGCGTTTTATGACTTTACTGCCTTGGTGTCCGGATCTGAAGGTTTGAGGATCTGTCGGCTTATCTCGGACTTCCTAATGCCCCGCGAGATAGCGAGCACGTGTCGCCGTGCCTGTCGACGCACGATGCATCTCTCCAAGACGCATTTCGTACTTTGGGTTTCCTCCTCGTCACCTGCGACAACCTGCGGGCACCTCACGTAGTAGATAGGAATATTCAAGATGCGGGAGACTGAGAGATCGGTAGGAGTAGAGGGAGAGTAGATAAATTGGAGATTGGCGGCAACTACCGTCTAGACGGACTTAACCGACCATGTGTGAGGGACAAAGATTGCCCCGGACGCCTTCTCCGACTAGTCTTGGGGAAAGCGATCGGTGATAGAAGGATTGTAAGAGAAGTGGCGTCATTAGAAATTAGGAATCCATTTAGAAGAGATAGTGATGTCGCGTAGACAAAAATAATGACGACTAAGCGATAAGGTTGTTTTATAGGCGATGTGACGCAGTAATAAACATATATATATGTATATGTACTTAGGCGTGTACATATACTTAGAAATATTATATTTCTTATCGTATTCTTATCGTATTTCTATTTTTTCCTCTTTCTATTTTTTTTCTCTTCTCTTCCTGCTTTTATTCAAATCTCTCTTCTAATATATATATATATACATTTACATAATGCAGTAGCCAGTATAGAGGTAATATTATCAGTAATTTGAGTCATTATGATCTTGCAGGGAGTACAAGTCATCGTCCAACTCGATGAAAGAGAATTACTTGCTGAGCGTCTTTATGGGCGACGTTATTGGCAATCCGAAGCTATGTCACTTATTGGCAAAGAGAGGCAGAGCCTGCGATAGTAGTTTGTTCGATAAGACGCGAAGTACTAGGATCTTTCAGTTAAATCATAAAGCTTGATGCCATAAACTTTAGATATTCGCGATTTTAAAATAAACTATAATCTGTTATTTTTTTTTGTATAACGTCGATGCATGGGTTTGTATAATCGTAATCGTTTATGTTGATTGTGTGATGTAATCCCTTGTTATTATTATTTCTAATATTATTAGTCAATTGATCTTTTAAAATAGATTGTAAATTGTTTTTAACAAGAAGTGCAAATTAAATACATAAAAAATCGTCACGAGAAACATATGATTGTGTAATATAATATATCAAATAATATATCAAATGTATAATTATTTTAATATTTTATTTACATAATTATAGACTCTCTCAAACATATCTTTCGCTTCACTTTGTGTGATTTCGTATTTCTTTCTTTCGTGTTTCTTCAATTCGCTGTATGTCCATGACATAAACAGTTCCCATCAATGTATAACGTAATACACCATTGCATGCAAAATTTACTGTTATTATGTGAAAATAAATTGTTTGACATTTAAGAAAGCATACATGAATCCTCTTATTTTCAAAGAGTTATTACGAAAATTGTGCCATTTCGTGTTCTTTGGCAGTATGCCCACTGATATATACACACACACACGGATTCGAAACGCACATATGGAGTGAGAGTTGCTTATAGTAACGAGTTACTACCTACGTCTTTCTGACCGAACGGCTAACCGGAGAATCGGTTTCGAAGAAAGTTTCAGTTGGTCCGAAACCTAGAAAGGCGACGATCGTTTGCATTACGAAAAGAAAGAAATAGTTAAATTCGATTATGTTGTTATACATATAAAAAATTAAAATAAATAAAAATTCGTGACATAATTAGACGTAAATAAATTTCTTATTAAAGCGCTTCGTACTATTTGCAAAGAAACGTGAACATTATGGTGATTTTATATAATAGAATGTTAAAGTGAAAGTGTTTTAATGTTGGATATATAAATATTATATTTAACAATGCATTAAAAATCCGTAAAGTTACTAAATTTTACATTTTCTACCAAGAAAAAGACATTCGTATTTATTAAAAATAAAGATAGTTTACAGTTATACTTCAAAATGATAAGTAAATTTATCTTCGTTTGGTGCCTCTCGTATTTATATTCCGAAGCTCACGCCGAACATTTCTCACAATATTTCCAAGAATCATCTGACAATACTCAATGCATTTTTGATGTTCCTCAGAAGATTTACTATGTAACAGATTTATTGCGGTAAGTATAACAATATTCTCTATTTGTAGAATATATCGAAAAAAATATGTAAATGAAAATTATATCAAAACAAAGTCATCTAATTATTGTTTATGTTCAATTAATCATACAGGTGCATGGATGAACTCGCTATCGGTCTTTTAGCTCAAAATAGAGATCAATCGTTAATTGTAGGACGAACAAGTCAAACGGATTCGTTAGATTACGAAGAAAATTCTTATGGATTTCCTTATGGAAATATAATTTTAAATTTACTTAATATTGCCCAAGTACCATCGGTAGGTTCAACTTGTATGTTTTTAATATACTTTGACAATATAAAATTTATCTCTCTTTATTAATATATTAGAAATATTGTAATATATTGATATATTTTTTAAATATTTTACAGGAGTCTAATAATGTCCCAATAGATTCTAATATTGGAAATTATCAATTAAATACGCTGATCAATCCTCTCAATCAATTTGGTAGTCTTGGAGCAAATATCTTTAATGCTATGTCATCAATCTCTCGCTACGATGATCTGAAATGCGTGCCGAGAATACTCTGTGAAGTGGCGAGTGGAAATCCACCGGGAGAATATAAGCAAGTATCAACGGAGAACAATGAGCAATATTTAGGAGAATCTGGAAGAAATATTTTCACGCAGTTCGTATTTTTTTATAAAATACAAAATTAAAAAATTTATATTATTAATAACATATGACGCATTCCATTAATTGATTATAGTAAATGATTACGTGGTTTTTAATATTACAGATGGCTCACCGGTTTGGCACAAGCATCTCCTATACTAAGTTTTGCTCGAGCCACCGTTTTGGGTTATAGCAGCAATGGAAATCCAGCCATGTGTTACCGTGCATTTCCGAGATGTCCGCGTAATCCGGACAAACTGTTGCATTATCTGAACAATCATAATGGTGGATTCTTTCAGTTCTTCAACAGAGGCGGACGCAAGAGATATTCTCAATCATCTTACGCTTTGCAAGGTAGAAGTTGTTACCGTAAATTTGTCGCAAGTGACAACTATAATTCATGCTTTCGTACGAGTTAAATCACATTCGTTTCTTGACAGATAATTCGGAACTACGCGAAGAAAGAAGATGGAATGCTCCGTCGCTGAATATTGCCGGAGCGGAAGCTGATCGTACTGGAACGGGCAAGCTAAAGTACGACTTTCCCGTTTTGACAAACCAAGATCGCGGAAAAAGCTTCTTTCCGAGGGAAAATACATTGGAAAACTCGGGACGAGTGGTTTTCCCAGATTATGAGGAATCGAGCGGTCGCCCCTTGAAAAGTAGAATTTCTAAATCCCTGTCAGACTTACGAGACTTTCATGTAAATACATTTTCACGAGACTCTCCACTGGTTTTTCCTCAGGTAATAAAATTAGATCGCTTTATTATGTCTACAAGTAGAAAAATTAACGAAAGTGAAACAATGAAAGACAAAAAATATAATGAAAATAAATAGCAAGCGATATAAGCATATAATTTTTATGCTTAATGAAATGACTTAAAAATATTTTCTAGGAATCGAAGGCTCAAGCTGTTCACGTTTTACATTTTATTCCTGAATCTCCGGACTCGGTATCTCACAATACATTTCGGTTTCCACATTAATGTTCAATTTTTTCGTTACAAATAAATTTTCAAATATTTAGGACTATTAATTGTTATACATTTTTGTTTGCAAATTAATCGAGATGTTACATATATGTGATCCGAAAGAAGATTAATTAAATTAATTTTATTGCTATTGTTGTATATCAACTGACATCCGTAAACACTAACAAATATGTATTTTTTAAATTTATATTTTACATCCTATCTCCAAATGGCTCATAATGGAATATACAGACGAGATATATGTATAGACGAGAAAGTGAACAAGCCATTCAACTCTTTTTTTATGTTGTATTCATCTTTTCAATATTACATAGTTATTCAATCCTTTCATCCATTACATCACGTTATCGATGCGCACAGTCAGCAAGAGACTAGAAATTGTAGACTCAGCTGAAAATGCAATTTTGATTTGGATAGGCAAACACTATTTTACCATTCTATGCGACAAAGCATATTTTATTCTCGCAAACTGAAAGGACCCTTGGTTTATTCCGCTTCACCTTTTCTCACAATGAATGATTTTATATCTTTTTAAAAGTATGCTTTTTGAAAAATATAATATGAAAATCAATAGCTCAATTAAATGTAAAATATATTAAAGTTTCATATATGAAAATAAATTGTGTTAAAATAAATTTTCAAAAATTATTAGTGATTGATTTTATGTAGTCTGAAATTCAAAGGAAAACACGCGTATTTTGCGGCATTTATACGAAATTTCTATTGCAATAATTATGAGCAGAAAACACAATACAAATGATTTCCGGAATTATGAATTATTCTTGGCATTCACTCATGAAATGCCGTTTCAGACAATATATTTACCGGGAGATTCTCCGCTTGGGTCTAAGCTGACATGCGATCCCCCTTGAACGTAATAATTTTCGATTACGATCATGAATTTTGCAAAAGCAAGGCGATAACGTCTATGAGCAACTGCGTGTGTATAGCTTTTCCGCTACAGCTCAGTAATTTTAGCCACGTGAGGTCGAAACTTGCTCGACAGGTGATCGTACGCGGTCTTCCTGATACTCTTCCTATTCATTTGAGGTTTTACTGTCTGACTCGTGTTTTCTTTTCTCGCGTTTCACGTGATGATAGCAACACCTTGCGTTTCTCATATATGCTTGCGTGCGTGAACAAATACAGGAATTACTCGACCTGCAGTCTTGAAATATACATAAGTCAGAGATGTATATATTTTTCGTTAAATCTGCATTACAGTTCTTTCGACGACGATTATACGAATATTCATACTGACGATAGCATACATGCGCAAATAATGATTTAATTTCACGAGGTTTGAGTAATCAAGAAATTTAAATAAAATATTTGGAGGCTTCATATGTGTGTTTTGTTTTTAATTTTTACAAATGTAAAAAGTCACGAGGAAAAAATAAATTTCCTCGTAAAAGAAAAAAATTACTTTCAAAGAATCCCATCGCTTGTAACGAAAAAATTGTTATTAAAGTTCCTAAAGAGAGAATACCGAGCTGCAATGCTTTTTTCCGTTTTCGGTGTGAAACGTTTGTCACGCGGGCTCTCGCAGCTGCAAAATTCACGTATGACTTTCTCCAAATAGCGGCTCACCGACGCTCGGTGACGCTGTAGAAATAGAACGGCGCGCAACGTCAAAAAAGCGGCAGACAACGTGTAATTATTTTATCCTTTCTGGCGTGTAATTTGGGGCGTGCACTACGCTCGTGAACTCGCTGACTCGATGCAGGGGGTAGAAATGGTGTGGCCGGAGTCCACGGCAATGCCGTAGCCCAGAGGGGCGTGTGCCTCGGACAGGACCAAGTGGGGTGCAACTGACAGCGGAAGACAATTAGCCTTCTGATACATCCAATGTCGCGTGATATGTTCCGTGGCACGTAGGAACTTTACAAAGATTCGTTTCACGCATCGCAACGCGTGGGACAAAATACGGGAGGTAATGCGGAGACCGTTGATTCATAATCTGTTGTACGAAGTATAATACACCAAGTTATTAACATCTGATTCAAACTGATGTTATATTATATCTGATTTTAATATTTAAGAAAAGATTTCTCGATAAAGACTTTAATGTGTCAAAATTTCGCGAATGACGCCGCAAACAATTACAATTTTGAATGGGGGAAAGATTGAGAACTGTTAAATGACGGGGCGATGGGGCATAGTAGCAGGTTGTAACAGGTTTAGCGTCGGCAGAGGATACGATCTGCGATCTCCGTCGTCTATGCCATAATCTCGTGCCTATTAGTGCGGCATTATTTTCCGTGGTAGACATCAAAGAGGATTTCCCGCGAGCTCATTGTATCGCGACGATAATTCCTCGTTATTAGCAGCCGCCGTCGTCGGGACGTTGGTCTCATGTCGGCTTACCACACCCCAAGTGCCGAAACAAATCCTCCCGAATTGGTGCCGATGCAAAGGAGGTTCTACGACGCATAACGCAATAACTCCGACAAAGGATCAGCCCAGGAGGTCGGGGAGATGGTGATTGTGGCAGCTAATCCCCGTGAAAAATGCGTTGCAGGTGGACGAATCCACACCGTCGCCACTCAGGTAAAGCTATGCTGGGGAAGAACCGAGTTTTTCCGATGCGAAGGGTGGATTAACAAGATATCCTTGGTGATCTCCGAATAGAATCGAGCCGGGAAGTGAAATTTGCGAGGGTTTTCGAAATTTGCGACGAACTCGAACGCATTTTGCTGGTGATCGACGTAACAAAGTAAGAAGAAAGATAGAAAGACAGAAAGATAGGACATACGATATTTATATCACGTTGAAAAAAAATTTGTATTGAAAAGAAATGTTGCATTTCTCTATTAAGTAAATTTTAAAAGAGAGGCTCAAACCTGTATATTTAATAAACTGATTTTCTTTAGAGTATATACATTAACTGTTTTATTAAATTATATTACACGTAGTTTGCGTCATTAGAGTAAGGAAAGTTTGCGCAGTTTGCGCAAGATATATGTGTGCGTTGGCTACAATCAAAGCCCGTTAAATCAAACCCTAGTAAGCAGCTTTAATGGTTCGTGATTTAATCAGGCTGTAGTAGCTACTACGTTCGAGTTGGCCTGAAAATAAGACATAAATTCTCGAATACACCCACCTATCGCGCGCGCGACCATAAAACACTGCCGCGATCTTATTTAGCCGTATATTTTTCCCCACGAGCGGCTCACAATGCCCCAATATCTTACCGTCGCCCAATACTACGGACCATCCTTTTCTTCTCGATGGACTTTTCAATTCGGGGCATCGGATCTTTGTCACCGAGGACGCCAATTCGCCTGCACAAAAGGACTGCGGCGACCGTGGAGATCTGGTTGAAAACTGAATCCCTTTCTTTCCCTTCCGCCTACCCGCCCAGTCGCTTGATGGACAGAATAATTCGGTGAGAATGAAAATTCATGTCCTTCGGCGGTCCTCTCCTACTACATGCGATTCGCGCTAGGGTCCTCGAAAGCCCGTGAAATCCTGACGCGCTGGTCAAACCACCGGATAAGTGGGTATCTGACGGTACAAAAGAAAAGATACCCTCCACCTTTCGCTATCACCGTCCACCAGACGGTTTCCTTATCCCTCGCGCAGATACGTACCAATTGTTGGCAGGACGGATGGCCAAATAGTAATAAATCGGTATGAGTGCAGTATTGTACTCTAATGTTAAATATAATTTTAAAAAAAGGCAATTTAAAAAAAAGAAGCCTCTTTTAATATGAACAAAAAAACAAATAATAATAATAATAATAATAAATGTCGTAAAAATTTATAAAAGTAATTAAAGTTTCTTTATATATTCACTTGACTCTTATGGTAGCTTTTGATATTTGTTATGAGTCTTCTTTAAAATATTTTTACTACTGGCAGTGTTTGTCACACACACGCGCACACGTACAAACAAAGATTACAAAGCCTCAATTCTTTAATCAACGCACAAAACTTACCCACAGTTACCGCCGGTTAATGCAGACGATCCCGTCCCCCGTCTTTAAAAAAGAAGCACTTTACCCGGCGGATCAGTTTTCAAATCGTTCATAAATAATGAATCCGGCTGCGGGTTGTACCGTGCAACGTCAGTCAGACACGCTGATTGCAGCATTGAGGACACGTGTCGCGGATCAATCGTCAGACGCGTGTCAGTATTTTCGTATCATCGCCGAAGGGTGCTCTCTACTACGTCTCTTTCGTTCTCTTTCCACTACCTTTTATCCCGTCAGTTCTCTTCCTCCTCCTTCACATTCGACTACTTCCTTCTTCTTTTATGTCGTCGCCCCTGCTGCTTCGAGTTTGCACGCAAAGCCAAACGAGTGTCGCCAGGAGAAAGCCAAACGACGACGTGCAGGATCGGGTTTTTTAAAGCGACCAGACGACGCTTTAATGCGACCGGGATTATGCGGCTGGACCGAAGCTACGGATTTCGCTCGAGATCGTCGAATAAGGGGCGTGCAAACAGAGGTTCTAAGAACATCCCTCGGTTCGCCACGTCGATCGCTTGTCAGCTGCTGGGATTTGCCGGTTTTTAATTAAAAGAGCTGCCAGAGCTTTAGACACGGTGCCGATTACCGATATAGAACCGTGTAAAGTAAAGCGTAGTGTGAAAATTGCGTTTATGATAATTTTTTTCTAAAATACACATTTCGAATTACAAGCGAATGAAGAAGCTTTCTTGCAAAGTAAACGTTGATAAACTATCTTAGTGAATTATAAAGTTGTTTTCTTCCCAAAATGTTTGCTATGATGAGAATTAATTTAAAAAAAAGTATCTATCGTTGAAAAATAATACACGATACCGGTATAAATTCAGACCAGTATAAAATTAAGATTCTCCTTCTCTTGCAACTTATATTTCTAATGCGCACAACGTAAAAGTATTTTTCAAAGCGATACATCAACAAATGAAATCTCTGCACGGCGCAGCAACATCATAACTCTTTCGCGAAGGAAATTATCGCGACGTGCCGTGCAAGATGAGCGAAGAACGAAGCGGCTGATACCTT